TTAAATAATATATAAATAAACTTTATTAAATAAACAATATAAATATAACTTAATTCTATTACTAACCACAATATTTATAATGAAAAAAGTATCTTAATTTGAAATTTTCAAAGTTAAATTCATCCTATCTTCAGTTATAAATTTGAATGCAAATTCTTTGAAACTAAGTATAATTAGCTTCAAATAGAATCTGATGTATTGCAGATACTAATTGAACTAATTTAATATAAACATCTGCTAAAGTAGTTGATTTAGAATCAACAGCTGTGATTGCTTCTTTTGCAGAATATATAATCTGTGATAAATATTCAACATCATTAAAAAATTCTTGAGAGCCAATTATATTTGCTACATCCTTTTGAACTATATTTGAATAATCTTGTAAAATCTAATATATAAATAATAATAATAAATAAATAAATAAATTAATTAATAAATAAATAAATAAATAAATAAATAAATAAATAAATAAATTTAAATTTAACTATATATATCAATAATATTTTACAATAGCAATATTAAAGAAATAATAAAAATTAAAAAATATTGTACCATTATTAAACATGGTTGTAGTCTTAAAATTGAAACAAGACAATTCCAAGTAGTTGACTAATGAGTTTTTACTGAAGACTAGATTCCACCACCAGAAATTAAATATTCTTGTTGTAAGTTACAAAGGAGTTCTCCAACTTGATGAGATATTTTTGTCTATTTTACAATTGATTGACATTTTTTCATTATATTAGAAGCTTATTGTTGTTTAAGAATATCTTTTATAATAAGATTTATATAATGTGCAATATATTGAATAGGAAGAATATATAGATATAATTTAATAACAAGATTTTTAGCTAACTTCATATTAGCAACGCCATCAGTTACAATTCTTCCAAACTTTTCTACACCAATTGTTTCTATAATGTCTTGAATTTCATTTGCAAGAAATTTTCCTATATAAGATTGCTTTGAATCATTTTGAAGACTATACAAGTATTCCTTTTTATTAGAAGTCATTAACAAGTATACATGAATACTTTGACCAATTGGATTTGTCTACCCATCAAGACCTATACCAAAAATAGATATAATTAATTACTTACCAAGTGTTAAATTTTTTTCTTTTTCAATTTCATTTTCAATTTTTATAGTAATATCAGCAACTTCACTTTTTAATAAAGTTGTTGACAGATGAGTTCGTTTAGGTGGTTCATAAACTTGATTTAAACATTTTACAAATTCTAAGAAAAAAGGATGCTTAACAACTATAAAAGAAATTCCACAACAAATAAAAAGTTTTAAAAGTGATCTGTCACATTCTTTTTTTTCTCAGTTAAGTATATAAAATTTTTTAACTGATTATTAAACTCTTGTGATTCATTAGAATGGGCCTTTTTAAATACTGGAAAATCCTCTTCAGTATCTTTTTCAATATTACTTTCTTTTGTATGATTTCTTGCAGCT